GGAGCATGTGAGGGGGAGACTCCCCTGCATGCACGGAGCATGTGAGGGAGGGACTCCCCTGCATGCACTGAGCAACTTTTGCTCAAGACTGCCAGTGGATCTTGACAACGGAGCAGGAGGAAGATGAAGATGGTGATCAATGACTTCCTGGTAGGATAAGTTTTTTTTGTTTTACTGTTCAGAATAAAACATTTACTGTACGTATTTGTGTATGTTACCGGTACATATTAAATCAAAAGTTTAAAAAGTCTTTCTGTGTAAATAACTCGTGTTACAACGTGGACATCCACGGTTTATAGACAAGCGCAGCCTATTTGTGTACAGAATTATCATAATTATTATTTTTAATTTAGTGGGTGTGGCTTATATTCAGGGTGCGCTCAATAGTCCAGAAATTACGGTAATTCAGAGTTGCTGCAGTTTCTGATAAGATTCATTGTTAGGTTGAGGTGAGTGAAGCTCAAAAAACAAGAAGTTTAACACAAATAAAATCAAGTTCAGTGCATGAACAGTGAATATGAAGTTGTTTTAACATGAAATAAGACAAGATGTTTAAAACAAAGACAAATCAAATGGTGGTTACAGCGCACACAGTACAGAGGTGTTAATTAGTACAATTCAAAATAAAACGACAGATAAAACAATAAAAATAGTTTACGATGCACAGGGGCGCAACTACATATTTTTGAGGTGGATGCGAACACATCATCGGCGCCCCCCCCACCCGCTCCTTTTTACTTGCCGCCTCATACAGCTTAGTCATGCACTTAGAAAATACAGTAGTAATATTACAGATTTTTTTAATGTTACATATTATATCAGGTGATCATTTCAATCATAAACAAATAAGAAGTTTTATAAAGTACAAATATATAACAGTAGTGGTACTCAGTCAGTGCTCAACATTTTATGTAGCGGAAATATGACATCTTAACAGCCTGGAGTCCATGTCAGAGTTTTAACATTTATGACATTTAAACTGTTACATTCCGTGACTTTGCATTTGCCCATTTGTCAAGTATAACATGAAATGAAATAGACCGTGCCACACTGTTTTCAATAGAGATCACTGCTAACTGGGACAAGCGATCATTGCTCATATTTGA